TCTCTTCTTCTCCGCAACGCTTCTTTTGCCGGCATGGAGTACAGAGGTGGAAGGTTGGTGGAGATGGTGCATAGTCCTGACGCTCGGACATGATGAATGAATTCAAAACACAGCAGAGTAGTAACGAAGATTAAGATTGCAGTTGTAAGATTGTGTGATGACACCAACTGGTCAATAGGCTTCTTGCAATAGCCCCGCATTTTTTACAAATTCGCCTGTGGGGGGGGGGGGCATGCGCTTTTTTGGGCACTCTAAAACCAAGACGAATTGGGGAGGGCTTTTCAAAACTTGAAGCCGCTGGCTTGGCAGCTGCGGAGGCCGTGACACCACTTACCGAACAACGATAACGCCAGGATAGGACAGCAGAACACTCCTACGCCCCTTGGCATGCTCTAGAGATTCCCATCACGAAGGAGAGCTCGGCGTACTGCTTCGTTTTAGTCAGCTCCTTTTGCGGCGAGATTTGGGGACTCCGCTCATAATTTTGAGAGCGATACAAGCGGTGTATGTACCAGCAACCTGCAGGCCCGCTCTCTTGTCGGTTGTCGCCTGGTGACACGTGAGCACACAGCACACACTCCGCCCAGCAGCCGTAGGGATCCTCAGCGCTTACAATGGGGAAACAGAGATGCATCTGCCAAACAAAATGTTGTGAGGAGGATGGTGGAGACGCGACGATACGGATGCCCAAAGACGCTGGCAAGTTCAAGAGCTGGTGCAACGCTTTTTGGTCGAGACGACCTTCCAGTCCCCAAGAGCGACCCTAGAATTTCGGCCGCTCACTTCCCTCCTGGTAGCCTAGCAGCCGATGTGAAGAGCACATCCCTTATCGGCGGGGGGGGTAGGGGTTAACGCGAAGGAGGGAGCACTGCCAAGCCAAACGAGCGAGGAGATGCTCAAAGCTTCTCGTGGTGCCCTGGCAAGGAGTCTCAAGCTCGAAGCTTTGAACGACCGACATCGGAGAGCGCTGCTGGCTGGGGCTCAGGAGGAAGCACGACTCAAGGATAAAAGTAGAGATTTGGGGCTAAGGATCTCCCTGCTAGAGTCGGAGCTAAGGGAGGCGGTGGATAAGCAGAAAGCACACGGCAGGTCATCACAGCCGGCGGACGTTGGGATCGACCACAACATCCTCCGTGGGAAGACGCCCACAGAAGTTCGTTGCCTGGCGGGGGTGCCCACCCACGAGGCTCTCCTGGTAAGTAAGGACTGCTGTAGGCTAGTTCTGTACTGGCGGGCATTTGTCTGTATTTCTTATTGACAGCCCCGCCTCACCTGCAGCCCCGATACAACGCATGCCCCATTTTTCACGTCATTGCCCCATTTTTCACGTCATTGCACAGTCTTAAAACTGGTTTTTAGTTCGTACGTTGTCTACAACTAACTGCTGTTGTGGCAGCTGAGCTCGTGCGTTCAAGATATGTCGCTCGAAACTACAGTAGTACACAGCTGGCATGTAGTCTAGTCTTCTATGTTGTAACATTACAGCAGACAACCCCAGTAGGCTACCAGTATGATCGGGAATGGATTACCTGCTGCGCGTCCTACAGCAGTGCTGAAGATACGGTAGTGTGGGCGCCCGTGGTTGTGTAATGTTTTGCCCGAGACAAGAGGAGTGCTGTCCTGGTTTTACTGCTGTCCAGGTCTACAGCAATAGGCTGGTGTGAGGGTGTTTGTCATCATCCCGTCTATCGGCCACTACAGCAGTAGTAAGAAATGCAACACGAGTCCAAGTTGATGGTTGTCGCCAACGAGAATTGCATGCATTTTCGGTTAACCTCGTGTATTTTCTGGCTAATAGGGCAAGTGGCGATTATCAGATCGAATCGAAGCATTACTTTGTTCAGTTTTTCAAAGTGGTGTCGGTAATGAACCTGGCCCTAATTTTCCTACACAAACACCGGGCAACACCGGGTGTACCGCCATTTTTGTTTTTTGCGGCGAAAAGTCGTGTTAGCGCATACATGTAAAGAAAAATAGGATCGGCTACCGCTAAATTATGACCAACGTATGATTGCCTTTCCGCCGGTCATTGCTTTTAGTTCTATCGCCTCCGGTCAAGCCGTGGACGCCTCTGCTCAAACATTTCGCCTTCGGCCGAATAGCGGCATTGCTCCGCCGCTGTGACCGCGTAGCCGCCCACAAAATCTTCACCGGCATAACCCGTGGCTATTTTCTCCCTTTCTCCCATCTCCCCGCCCCTACCCTGCAGAAGCTGTACGAGTTCGCGAACGCCGACGGCGCTGCGGAGAACATGGTGTTTTTCGATCAGCGAGAACGGGCGGGCGTTTCAGCGGGTGGAAACAGCCAGCGAGTCAAGACTTTTCGTGGTGTCAACGGACGATTTTTTACATTGATGGTGTTGCGCACGGCGATGCCGCTGGTTCTGGCGTCGACTCTATTCGGTGTGCACGAGAGTACCGGGGGGAGGGCTTTCACGACGTGGCTGAATTTCCTCTATCGCAGCCTCCGTCCTGTCATACGGTTGCCTTCGGCAGAAGAGGTCGTCGACCTTCGCCCCAAGAACTTCGACGACTTAGGTTATGAGAATTGCGCGTTGGTGTTGGATGCCACGGAGATACAATGTAGAGATCCCCAAGTCCTGGCAAACAAACATGAATTTTGTGTCTGTTTCCACGTACAAGGGCAGGCACACGGCTAAAGTTCTTGTAGCGAAAAAACCCGGGGGTGCCATTTGCTATATCGGACCCGCGTACCCAGGGAGGATGAGTGACGTTGAGGTTGTTCGCATGTCTGGTCTCGTCGACGCTATGAGGGAAAATGGTCTTTCTAACATGGGTTTCAAAGTGATGGCGGACAAGGGTTTCAACTCCATCTCGCCTTTGCTGATGAGGGAAGGTATGCACTATTGCGCGCCACCCTTCAAGTTTAACGGCGAGATTCAGTTCACCAAAGCCGACATGCAGCAAAATTGGGAGGTAGCCAACTTGCGCATTCACGTAGAACGAGCAATGAACAAGTGGAGTATCGTTGACTCGAAGTTCCATCACAAGGAACTCGATCACCTGGAGATGTGCTTTCATGTAGTGGCTGCTTTGGTAAACTTGATGCAACAGCCGTTTCGGAGCTAGGGATACCGGGGTGTACGGTGTGTGTGCGCGTGTCGCTGTATGCGCGCGGATGTGCTGCCCCGTGGCGTTGGCTCTCCCATCCTTGCTGCGCGTGTCGTGTGGTGTTATGGTAGAGCTCCTGTTGAAGCGCATGTTGTGTGGTGTTCTGTTGGTGTTGTGCCATTTGCGGCTTGAGGAAAATTCTATGCAGTACATGTATTTAGTAGAAGTACGTCCAAGAGTAGACGGAGATATTCGGCGGGTGGATGTGCTGGGTGAGTGAGCATACACGGTGATGTATTTGCTGGATAAAGGGGTACCCCAGGCTTAGTGCGGTGTTGTCAGTGTTCGCTTGTGGGGAGCACCTCCTAAATGGTGTATATTTTGTTAGAGAGCATCCGAGCTAATGGAACCAGTGCAACAACCTCGCTGTGTAATCACGTTCTGGAACAATGACCACAAATCCCATCCTACTAGATTTGAGTTCAGGGGAGGTCGGCAGCAGTGACTACTTCGGGTTTCGCATGGTACCTACCAACCCCCGACCGGAACTCTAGCTGTTTCTATTTCTCTGTTTTTAGTTGGGATTCCGTCGATGGAAGGCAAGCGTGTCAGGGGAAAATATCATATCGCACGATTCTTCTGCCGACACATGATGAACGGCAAAATGGGCACGAGGGCCGTGTTCAGAGGCTAATACACGCAGCTCGTGCAGCGAGCTGAAATATGAGTCTGTTGTAGCGAAGGCGGCGGGCAGGGCATGCACTCGCCAAAGAAACCCATGCGTTTAGCGAGAGCTGGTAGCTCTGTCCCCCGCTTCATCTTGCAACAAATGAACGGGTGTATGGTCGCGACGGACGGATGACGCCGCGCCCAAAGCGAAAAGGTACTTTCAACCCTCTGCCGTGCGTAGATGTCCCACGTGGCACCCGTGCGTAGACCCCCCCCCCGCCCCCCATGACACCCAATAAAACGAACCTACCACAAAATATTGTTGCACTAACCTCTGAGGGCCGAGCCTATAGACAGAGGTTTACGTAGAAGTCACCAAAGAGAGGCCACATTGGAGTGCCGCTAAGAAAGCACTCTGAATGGAAGAGGAACCACAAAGCTACAGGTCGCAATCTTCACGCACGAGCGGCGGAAGGTAGTCCATGGCGACTGCTCTGTTATCCGGGCCCCTGGCACAATCCACGAACGCCAGCAGCTTGTCCATTTTGAACCTACTGAAATCCTAGCCAGTATCGAAGTGGAGCTTCAGTTCATCCCACTTTCCTCCAGAGGGGTGCGGGTTGAAGTCTTGCACTCGATCGATCGCGGTTACTCCCTGTACTTTCGCCGGAACGTTGTCGTCAAAGCCTTGTCGAGGATCCCGCATTTTCCTGACCACATTCGTGCTGTGCGATAGAGGTTCTCCATTTAACGAAAACTGCTCTCCCAACCTGCCCCCCTTACTGTTCGGCATGATCCAACTGAAAGCTCGACCGGTACATGTAGATGGGTTGAACGTGGCTAGTTCGCCCTCTGTCATCTGCAGCAGACGAGTCAAGAAGAGGACGATTGCAGTGCGGGAGCATCCCCCGCTTACGCCGGCAGGACACTCGCACAGAGCGGCGACCACGCCAAGGGCGACGCGGGGCGGTCTCGGCCATTGCCCAGATTCTACCCCGTGCCCCTCCTCCGCCGCTGCTGAGGGATGAGCGCTCTCGTCCAACGCCTCCACCCGCAGTTGTATGCGGACCTCGTACGTTTTCGTATCCGAGAAGGAGGCACCGGCGCTGACCAGAAACGAGCGTGGACGTAGGGAAGATGGCGTGAGGTACAATCGACGAGGCAAGATCGTATTTACGTCAGAAGCATGAAAAAAAAGTGGGTTTGTTACCGCGAAAGTGGGCTGATGCGTATACATTTGTCAGGAGCATGGCATAACAATGTGGGCTTTTTACCGTAGAAGTGAACTAGTGGGTTGCGCCGAAAGAGCACCCACGAAGCTACCAGTGCATGAGGAATGCAGGAGGGGGTGGGGGGGGGGGGGCGGTTGTGGGTGTGATCATCAAAACTATGGCGCGAAATGCGTGTCGTGGTAAGACTGCGTTCGGTGTGGGAGAAGCGCTTACAGGCCTGCCGAAAGGATACGACACCACCAGCACGTGACAGCAACAACAATAGTAAGTACCTCTCGCGTGGTACTTACCTCATCCCCAGATACATCAACCCGTTCTTGGCCGGGACGCGCCACAACCTGTTCAGGTTCCCCATATCCATAACCTTCTGCATCCCCCTGTACCAAACCCGCGAACCCTCGCCAGAGATGGGGTTGACTTGTCGGGGGAACTGCAGAATCACCGACTTGGACATTTCGGGGAGGTGCTGCTGTGGATGTTCAAAACCGCTGATCCGCGAGCGGGGGCCGGGTAGTTCAGGCATGGCCATGCGCTCCTTGTCTTGGAAAGAGCTGAGATCCGGGATAGGATGGCGGAATGCTTGGTTGCTGTTGAGCAACCCGCACTTCTTGATCATCGCCACGACCTGCCCCGCCAGCTCGGCGAGGGGGCCCTTGAGGTACGCGCTGTGACCGGCGTGGTCGAGGCACCTACAAACCTGCCACGAGTAAAGGACAGGGACCACGTGAGGGGATTTTTTCTTCGCAATACGCTGTGCGTGTACGCGTGACAAACTGTTAACAGTGGGGGTGCCGCGACACGAAAAGGCCCTCGTACACTCGTTCCTGTGATTAATGCGTGTCCTCCGAAAGCCCAACATATGTTAGCATAATCCAAGCGATAAACTTCTTTAAAATTCCCGCGCGGCAGTTTGCGACGCCATTGTTCAACCCCTGAAATAAATATCCCGTGCGCATACCAAACGTAACCATGAAAGCAACTGCTGGACTCACGCTGAGGAATTCGCGTAGCTGTGCGACTGTCCACTTGTTGAAGTCTTCTTCGGCACCGGGGAGACGACTAAACCCGTGTTTATGGTAGTTGTTGGTGTCGTGAGTCACCGCCTTGCGAGAGCGCTTGTTCCGACTCGTACTCTGGTCCGGCGTCGGCGTCGGTCCCGTGTAATGGCGGGGCCCACACCTGGCCCGTGGTAGGAGAAACTTCCCCCGATGCTATGCCAGAGGTGACAGAGGAAAACTCCAGGGTACCTGTGGTAATACAGCAGGAGCAACCGTGGTACAGCAGTATTGTTTCATGTTCGACACACAGACAACGGAAGCTAGCTCGTCTACAATACTATGTATGTTGGACATTGCCTAGAGTGCCCCACGGCAATTCCGGGCGCGCTAGAGAGTCGGCGAAAAAAAAATGCGTTCGTTCCGGTGCCACGACTTGGGCAAAGTCCAGCTTCGAACAAAAATCTTACGGAGGAGCTGCAGAGCATGTGCACGAAAGACCTAAATACTCCGTCTGCAGACTACACATGCACGCACATAGACGCGACGTCGACGATACGTTTAGCCATTACCGCGGAACGAGAAGGCACAGACACCGAACAACATGCCACTCCTAGGAATTCATGTTACCTCCGAGATACTACACATAGGTGGGGGATATTTGGGTGACAGGAGCAGGTAACACATACACGATCCCCACGACTCTGACCTGTGTCTTTGGTGATGGCCAGCGAAGACCTTGCACCGGAGAAATGTCGGGAGGTGTTCTTCAACGGGTCCCACACCACCGCATTGTGAAACATGTTATGAGACCTCCTGAGCTTTTCCTCCGCCTCCTCTAGGGCCGCTGGTGTTTCCTCCTCCTTGGAGCCCTGCACGACGATTCTTGCCAAGTTGCCCACAAGCGCCTCAAAAGGCGCAACGGCGGCGGTTCCCCAAGGATCTGGTTCGATCAGTTCGAAGGCCACTTTGGCCGCCCTGACCAGGGCCGATGTTCTTGAAATCGGCGAAGTCGTTTCCGGCGAGAGTGGCGAACAAACTCAGCCTACGGCGGGCGGCGGCTTCGGTAAGAGGAGAAGCGCGTAAGTTAAGCGTGTGCCCGCGGGGAAGACCGTGCAGTTGCCGGAGAAAAGCGTAGCCTTCGGCGTCCATCACGAAAGCCCACTCCGGTGGTTGGGATATCAACCTCGACCTGATGCACACCCCCGTGAGATTTCCCGCATCAGTCCCTCTTACGTCCCACAGCAACGATCGAACACCGAGGACGATCAAGTCCGAATCGTTCGCGAAAACATACACAGGACACCCCGTCTCTAGGTAGATGTCCTGGAAAATCACGATCTATGGGTCGGCCTCCCTTGGAGCGATGTAAACCTCTCCTGCTATCTGGGTTCGCAAGAGAATCGCAACCCTTGCGACAACGCGGCAGTCGAACACGCACGCACTGCTGGCCTTCTTGTTGATCTCCGTAAGTCGGCCCCCAGTTCTTTGGAGCTCGCGGGACTCACTGGCTGCGGCCTTCCCCTTGGTTCTACGAGCTTTGGAAGTGCTCTTCTTCGCCGGCGGAGTGCTTCCATCGAGGACTACGGTGACATTGAAACCACGCGACTCGAACCGCGAGACCTCGGCAGCACACTCGACAAGCGGGGCGACGTCGTCGTGCAGCAATAAATCGCGTGCCGCTGTCCTCCTTGTACAGCAGCGGTGAAGGAGAAAGCTGTTGTCCACTACGATACGGTCATCGTGTTCCGCGTGCTGCAATTTTGTGCTCAGTGACCCCACACTCTTCGCATATTTCGACAGCGACAAGATGCCCATCGCAGAGCAGAGTGTCCGCCCAGAGAAGGTGAGGTCGCTTGCTTTGAACAGACCGCAGTGCGAACGAACAGGCCGAAAAATCACCAACGGACCATTGGGCCACTCGACCCCGCGGTCCGCTCGTCGCTCTCTCGGTTTCTCTCCAGGTGCAGGTGTGGGTCTTGCCGCTGCTTTGTATAACCGGTCCACATACAGCCTCTGCTGATACGACTCCGGCGCAACCACCTCTGTGTTGATACGTGTTTTGCTCCGTCCTCCTCGAAGATGCTGCTGTTGTAGACAACTGCTGTGTTCGGCAATGTCTGCAACGGCAGTATTTTTGTATTTTGGTTTGGCACCCTTCAACTTTCATGGAGGGCATGAAGATGCGCAGAGATCACCGTCGCAAGTGGCAGGTGTTTTGCTCTGTATTTCTGGCATGTCACACACCGAGGAGTGACTTCATGTAGTGCTTGCGATAAAAGCACGGCTACTGCTGTGTAGCTTTCCTCAGACCGAACAAGAACCTGTGGCAACGTAGTAGTGTGTACAATCCACGCTGCTGTATTCATAGGGTGTCTCGACTCCACGGAAAGATTGCTACGAGTCAACCACGAGATTCCATCGACACTGCACTAACACAGACCTCCCCTTCCCGCGTAACCTGCTTCCTCGACGGCCGTGCTATACCGGTGGTCGCTATTGACGTAATCCTTCAAACCGCCGACGACCAACACCGCCACCAGAGCGAACCTACTTGCTACCCTTTGCTGTCCACGCCTTGTTACCGAACACCACAAGGGGTCCCGCCACGCTTCTCACCTTTGACCCGCACAAACAAAGTTCTTTGCGGCAGATTGTCAGCAAGACTCCAAGGTCAATTACCATAGGGACCTCTACCGAACATGTTACCATTGAACGGGTTGTTGCTGCAAGGTCCCGCGAAGCCCAGTGCAGTAGTAAAAGTACAGGGAGTAACCGCGATCGATCGAGTGCAAGACTTCAACCCGCACCCCTCTGGAGGAAAGTGGGATGAACTGAAGCTCCACTTCGATACTGGCAAGGATTTCAGTAGGTTCAAAATGGACAAGCTGCTGGCGTTCGTGGATTGTGCCAGGGGCCCGGATAACGGAGCAGTCGCCATGGACTACCTTCCGCCGCTCGTGCGTGAAGATTGCGACCTGTAGCTTTGTGATTCCTCTTCCATTCAGAGTGTTTTCTTAGCGGCACTCCAATGTGGCCTCTCTTTGGTGACTTCTACGTAAACCTCTGTCTATAGGCTCGACCCTCAGAGGTTGGTGCAACAATATTTTGTGGTAGGTTCGTTTTATTGGGTGTCATGGGGGGCGCGCGGGGGGGCGTACTCTTCTTATGTTTTGCATGCCTTAGCGGTTAGACCATTGACCACGCGTCCTCGAGAAGACGGAGCATTGTTCCCACAGGACCGATCACCGATGGCCAATCGTTCCTTCCTACTTTGCCAAAGGTGGCTCAAAAATGTGTTCCCTAGTTTGTCTATCCTAACGATGCCCCTTCCCGCCTTTTCAAACCACTTCCTACTCCCCAGTACAGCTACCGTTCTCTCCTCTCTATTCCATGCCTCAAACATCTCCCTGTACGTCCCTTGTATTCTTCCCAGCTCAGTCATATACACTTCCCTCTCCTTTTCGTACCACGGACATTCCGCGACAACATGAACACTACTGTCTTCGCATTCGAAGCCGCAATCGCACTTGAACTTATCGTCTTCGTCGTCTACCGTCCTATGTCTTCGTCGATTTTATTGGGTGTCATGGGGGGCGGGGGGGGGGGGTCTACGCACGGGTGCCACGTGGGACGTCTACGCACGGTAGAGGGTTGAAAGTACCTTTTCGCTTTGGGCGCGGCGTCATCCGTCCGTCGCGACCATACACCCGTTCATTTGTTGCAAGATGAAGCGGGGGACAGAGCTACCAGCTCTCGCTAAACGCATGGGTTTCTTTGGCGAGTGCATGCCCTGCCCGCCGCCTTCGCTACAACAGACTCATATTTCAGCTCGCTGCACGAGCTGCGTGTATTAGCCTCTGAACACGGCCCTCGTGCCCATTTTGCCGTTCATCATGTGTCGGCAGAAGAATCGTGCGATATGATATTTTCCCCTGACACGCTTGCCTTCCATCGACGGAATCCCAACTAAAAACAGAGAAATAGAAACAGCTAGAGTTCCGGTCGGGGGTTGGTAGGTACCATGCGAAACCCGAAGTAGTCACTGCTGCCGACCTCCCCTGAACTCAAATCTAGTAGGATGGGATTTGTGGTCATTGTTCCAGAACGTGATTACACAGCGAGGTTGTTGCACTGGTTCCATTAGCTCGGATGCTCTCTAACAAAATATACACCATTTAGGAGGTGCTCCCCACAAGCGAACACTGACAACACCGCACTAAGCCTGGGGTACCCCTTTATCCAGCAAATACATCACCGTGTATGCTCACTCACCCAGCACATCCACCCGCCGAATATCTCCGTCTACTCTTGGACGTACTTCTACTAAATACATGTACTGCATAGAATTTTCCTCAAGCCGCAAATGGCACAACACCAACAGAACACCACACAACATGCGCTTCAACAGGAGCTCTACCATAACACCACACGACACGCGCAGCAAGGATGGGAGAGCCAACGCCACGGGGCAGCACATCCGCGCGCATACAGCGACACGCGCACACACACCGTACACCCCGGTATCCCTAGCTCCGAAACGGCTGTTGCATCAAGTTTACCAAAGCAGCCACTACATGAAAGCACATCTCCAGGTGATCGAGTTCCTTGTGATGGAACT